CTAAAGAAAATTTCCAGTAAACTGTAAAGAAGTACTCAAACTTGCATTAAAAGTTACAATTCTATTTGCATATAAAATACGATATATTTCTTACACTCAACATTAACAGCCAGATATGACAAGAATTACGGCAACACATAATCAATTCTCATTTTCTTATTCGTTGTGGCAGCCCCTACTTCTCTCTGCATCTAACCTAAGCCTATTAAAATGTAGTGACATTTAAAATTATAATACACTGCAGGAAATTCTACAGCGTCAATTCATAGTGAGTATAAATAACCACGACTAAAATATTTGTAAGTTTCCATTTCAGTCCCACAGCACATAAAAGTTGTTCCTCTGCTTACCCATAACACCCCAAAAATTTTTCAGGGCTTATATGAGGCATGGGAACGCGTGGTAGAGTACTTGGTTAAGGAACTATCCTATAAACCGGAAGATCGAGAGTTTGAGTCTCAATGAGGTTACTGAAATTTTCAATTGACCTATTTCTCCCAGCCGCACTATGACTTTGAGGTCGCCTCAGCCTCTAAAAGAAATGAGTAACAGGAATCTTCCTGGAGGTTAAAGGGCGGCCGGAGAGTAAGGCTGACAACCTTACCGCCATGTATGAGCCGATTGTCCAGGAAATGTGAGAAACTCGACGTCTCATAACCCTATGGGTCTTCGTGTTCTATTTGCTGGGACAGATTTATATGAAGCATGGAGGTAAAACTTCACGCATTCCATCGAATGTTATGGTTGCGTATTCAGCCCTTGTGTTTCGTATTCTGCACCTTAACACAACTTCGAATTTAAGCGCGAAGAACCTCTGTTCCGATAGATATATCGTATTCAGCTTCAGCTCCTTCAGAAAAACATGATGGATTAGTATTTTAAAATATGTTGTGGCTGTTTTGTATCAAATGGCATTTACATTCTTCATTCGTAACGAAGGACATGCGATTTGACGTCATGGAACCTAACATATGTGACTGAAGAGATTCCAATCCTCGGCCTCAGATGGAGTTCTGAGCTGCGGGATCTTTATCCACAGTGAAAGAACCCACGACATGGGAGACCGTGACCGAGCAGGTTGGTACAGCGGTAAAGCTCTAGATTTGCATTCGGGGGGTGCTCGATTCGCATCTCGACAGATATAGCGCCTATCCTGACTAAGATTCTTTGTGATTATCCTAAAGCTGTCCAGGCAAACATCAAGAAAACACCTCCTCGATTAAGTAACAATCGTTTCCTTCAAAATTCTCCGACTTCATTATTCGTCAATTGTCATACTATTTGACACTGCATAATCTAGAAAACCACACAAGAAGTTGCCTCGGTCGCGGAACAGTTGTGGACTGACTACACGCGAGGAAAACTAGCGCCATCTCTGGAAGTCAAAACATGTTCGTCCTGCCGTACATAGACTGTACACTGCTAGATCGGGGCTAGTTTCGTGCAAATATGTAAGAAGTCCACTTTAACACATGCTCATTATCTCCAAAACAACACCCTATGAAGAAATACACGCAATATTGATCTCACGCCTGTGGAGAACAGGCCTGTTACCTGCTGGTATATGACGTCATTTAGTCTAGTAGAAATTTACCGTCATATCTGTGGAAACTATTGCATTCACCTTCCGGGATGTAAAGCAAGCCGAGCAAGCAAACAACAAGCAGCTAAGTTATTCCGTCTTTCCGAAACGTCGGTAAGGTCCTATCATGCTATATGGTGTTATATGCCACAAGGCGTTAGTGTACTTTTTCACGGCATTATTTATTAGAACCCTTTGAAGAACAACATCCCTTCGAACAACTTGCTATATCACAGAAAAGTAGTTCTCAAATCTGAAGCTTGCATAAATAATAATATTCTATTCAGTTCAGCCGAAGCGCATTGCATCGAACAGAACGCAATCTAACTGAATCGAAATTTCCTGTCGGTTGTGCAAGCTAGTTCGATTGATTTGAAACAAGGTCGAACCGAAGAACGTTGCGGACAGTTTCATATTTCAACTCAATATAAGCCACTGAAGCTCTATATGTAAAGGTACTTCCAGCGTCAGCGTAATGAGAGAAACCTCTGACGAAAACGGATCATGTGCTCATAGGATGTACAAAAATAGAAAGTCACTTACAGGGGTGACTATAGACGGGGTCTGAATTGGTGACTCGATTTATTGCCCACTTGTGCACTCACGACTAGTGACTACACTTTGCAGGTCACTGACACACACACACACACACACGCAGACTAGCGTCATCAGTCTATTGCAAACTCCATTAGCCGTTTCATGGCAACGGATTTTAACGCAGGAACTATAACTGTCTCACTGAATTACACACTCAGAATATCACACATAAAATCTTCTCTTCACAGTCGCACTCTTGCAATTAACGCTTTCCTTCACAGCCTTCTGTACAGAACTGAACTCTCAACTGAGTGGGTCTCCCCTGTTGTTTTCCTTATAAACCCTTTGCACGGATCGAGTAGAAAACACCGTTCCAAACTGTAACTCAATTTTTGCGTGCATACTGTTTTCAGTGGAAACTTGTTTACCGAGCCGTTGTCTAGAAACGGTCGCAGCGCGGAACACAGAAAACCCCGTTCTTCTATTGTTGTGTGCGTATATGTTGTTAGCGTTACCTAGTAACGGCCGCTGTTTACAGAGTCATCATCTAGCAAAAGATCTATGTGCCACAAAATTGGATTATGGTTTTAAATGTATTAAGATATAAGCAATAATGCAGAATCAAAAGAAAAATATGAAGCCTAAAAGACCTCTACTACCGCATGTATGCAGCAAGAAGAATGCTAGAAAATGCTTCCGATATGCGGCCAGAACTATTTTGTGTCTTCCAGGAAAGGAAACATGTATCAGCACAACACCTAAAGGTTGTACTGGGATATATTCTGCAAGCAATTACCTGAGGAAGGACACTGATCCGTCACGACTGAAGCAGAGAGTATTAATAGCTCTAAATTTACTCGATAATAGAACTGCAACACATTGGTGGAAATTCCAGTTGCTCTAAGGGATTTCTTTGTATCTTCAGGATATGGTCTCGACCAGCAAATGTACGTGTATGTGCATAGTAAATGAGTTTAAAACTTTTCATTTTCGAATCCTCAGCTTTACCATTAGGGAAAACTGTAACACAGTAAGAAATTAGTTATAAACAGCGGGGTCAGAGGTCAACGGCAGTGCCGGTGTCACCTGAAATATTAGACATGGAACATGCTCCTTTAGAAACTTAGGAAAAGTATGCAAAAATACAAAAATTTCGCAACAAACATTCAACATCGAATGGAAATTTTGGATTTTCTATTGCGTTGTAAGTATACACTCATTGCAGTAAATCATTTTCAAACAGTAGTAAAAATAAAACAACGTTCCTTGTGATAAATTTGTTTGTGACAACGAGGAACATATGACCAATCATTTCTGATAATAACAGCATAGATCCAATACCCACAAATATATATTTTTGCTATGTAAGATTTGAGGCTTTCACGACGGTGACTATGAAGAAAGCAGTCTTCTGGGATTTGGCACCGTGTATATGTGGTGTTAACCGACGTTTCGGAGGAACGTATCGCCCCCATCTTCAGGGTTGAAGAAGTATAGGTAAATCTGCAAGCGACAACACCGTGAGACACGGTCAAGCGACCGTGTCTCACGGTGTTGTCGCTTGCAGATTTACCTATACTTCTTCAACCCTGAAGATGGGGGCGATACGTTCCTCCGAAACGTCGGTTAACACCACATATACACGGTGCCAAATCCCAGAAGACTGCTTTCTTCATATATTTTTGCTGTTCAGACATCTCAAAATAATGCCTTCATAAATTTATGCATCCTAATTTTCTCCGATGGATGGCTTGTGCCTAGACCAACCGAAACAGCCCTTTGTTCCGCCTTCGTCTGTTGACGAATGCGATCGAATCCGCAACACAAAACATATCGATTGAAAAATATTGAACCGTTCAGGATCGAAACGAAAGACATCCTTCTGCAAGAATTCATTCAGGTTCGTTGCGTATCGACTCGCTTCTATTCTTACTGCTGTGTTCTAGTTCTGCAGAAAATATCAGGTTTCTTTATATATTTTAGTAATGACTTCCCAGTCTTCAATTCGTTTTAAGGCAATAAATTCGTCTTAAAGAAACTACTGTAACGTTACCTTGCGGATCTGAATGAAGCTTCATATTCTGGAATAATTCGGGAACGAGATTTAGGAGATATTTCTGCAAGTTCATATTGGTTCAGTTCTATTCAATGTAGTATGCGCCGGCAACAGGAAATCTCTCGAGCGACCATTATACTACAAGACCTATTTTGTTCAGTCCCATAAAGCCACCGTAACTACTGAGACATGCATTCCAAATAGATACCAAATTCCTGGACGCTTTTCTCGTAGAATTAACTAGCCTGCAATGAATACCAATCGAGCAGAGCTTCTGACTGGAAGCAGCGACATGGCCAGAGATTACTACAGACGGGAACCATTTGCTATCAAAAGGGAGAGTAGCTGGCAAATGTCTGGACTTCCTCTTGTGGCTGTACGCTTCTGACTGGATGTTGCATATCCTCGGCCTTTGTCTGTAGAGATGACAGAAGCCCACTTCTTCTAGCACCAAGTGGAGGATTTCTACATCGGCTCTAATATAGCGAAACTATAGAATTGATGTGGTTCTCACTGTGGTGGTTTTGAACGGCTCAATCTTCAGGGTTATAATGTCAACGGGTTACATGGCATTATATCCTGGAATATAAATTTCTTTGCAACAGATGAGTTGCATATATATGTATAATATATATTCTGTGGATAAAATACTAACTAGACATAAAATTAAAAGATTATATAATTTCCATTAAGATTTGAAGTATTAAGAGTTTAATAGGGGATCAATGACAGAAAATCTTGAGATATTTAATTATGATTTCCGTAAACTCGTGATCTCCTACGACACAAAATCACTCCTCTCAAGCAGAAAATTTGAGGACTTACATGTGGATGAAGCCTGAGTGTGACAAGGAGGCTGAACTCCCTCGGAAAACTACCGGTGTGGCTGTGCCCCACAGCAGGGAACAGTTCTGAAGATGGTATCCACATGTATGAGTATGGATGAAGCCTCCATGCTGTTGGTCTTCCCGGCACGCGCTCCCATTGTGCCCGAGAAGAGGGGTGGAAATAGCGGCGGTCTTCAACATCCAGAGGGTAGACTGCACCTGTAACAAGCAGAGTTCAATGTCTATACTTTGCATGTAAAGGGTTAGCGTGACGAGTAGTAACGGGTTCTAGATTTGATGACTGAGGATATTGGCACTTCTTTACCATTGAAATCCTAAGTAACGTCTGTTTGCTGAATCTCTATGAGGAATCTCTCACTGTTGTCTGAATTTCTGACTGGTCTCTCGTCTCTCGAATTCTGGATCCCTACTCTACTCCTCTCTACTACTCTGATTTCTCTCTCTCTTTCGGAATTCATGAATCTATTGCCTTATATAATTTCTGTTATTCTGTTGGTAGGAGCCTGGATAGCTCAGGCGGTATAGCGACTGGCAAATGGCTGGACGACCGAGGGGTCGGGGTACGAGTCCCGGTGGGTGCAAGAATCTTCTCTTCTTCAAGTCGTGCAGACTGGCTCTGGGGTTCAACCAACCTCCTATCCAATGGGTACAGGGGGCCCCTTCCCAGGAGTAGAGCGGCAGGGGCGTGAAGCTGACCACTCACTTCTAACTAATACTGAGGTAAAGGAAATATGGATCTATACATCCACTCCCCATACGCCTTCATGGCGTAGTGCTTAATTAGTTAAGTACAAGGACGATTTTACCTTAACTTTTAACTTTATTCTGTTTGTTGTCACGGGAATCTTGTATACTGACTTTGGATACTAGGAAACCGAGGTTACGAGAGGACTGTGCTTAGTGAAGCCTTTCCTAGCAGGTCATATTCCGCCCCCATCTACGGGATACAAGGTTTCATATTAAATTTAATAACTGCTCAGCTGATCAATATGTTCTGTCCTTTCATGAACATTGAAGATTCATCAATATAGTCGTAGAAACAGTTGATGGTCAAACTTGAGCCAGTTCAATCCTGTTAAAATTTTCGTACACTCCTCTCTATATCGGTTCTGTTCTAGGAGGAACCCGGTAGAGACTGCTCTCAATAGAAGTGCAGTCCATTTCTCCGAAATATTGGCAATTGTGTACCACGCTGAGTGGCTTTACTTCCCAGACAACCGTAATGTTAGTCATATTTGTATGTACAAATGTCTTCCTCTTGTAATAAAATCTTACAGAGCATATAAATAACTGAAAAGAAGCACAATCAACAGTCTCACTTAGCGACCTGAATAACAGCCTCTCCTTTAAATCTTTTCGTTCTTGAACATGTGAATTCAATGTAGGTAACATCACATGCCTTAACTGAGCAAACTTTTTAGTATTTTCTATACATTTGCCTTCATCGGAATCTATTTATCTAATTCATTGTAATTTTTTTCTCACATCTCTGCCTCCATGTTCCAAATAACCGCTTTATAAGAGGATTCCTTTACTAAGTCCTGTAAATATATCCTCAATTTCTCATGCAAGCATTAATTTTCGTCGCACGTAACCACGTAGACTCCAGACTTCACTATTCTAGCATTGCTACGCGATCTTCATACAGTATGAGAGTTCTAGTTACACAGTATTCTAAACTGCTCGATTATTTCATCCTCCTGTAATACAATTATTTTCTTGCGCCCCTTCTTGCAAACATTCGCAATTTAAATATTTTATGAAAGAAGAGACAATATTTCACAGAGATATATGAAGTTTACCACAGCAGATACCCCCTGGGATCATCCTCGTATTTCTAAAGATGAGCCTATGGAATAAAGTTTTCAAGTTAAACCCATGAGTTTCCTTTTGATGCTGGGTTTTCCAGAAGGATCATTGTCAAGCAATTCTGGATATATTATATTACTGAGCACATTTTTGTTCAAATTTGTATTTGTTCTGCAGTAAGATATGTGAAAGATATCTTCCTGGCTCCTTTATACAATTATAATATGCGCTTTATTATTTTTAGGAATAAATCTAAGTTACATGTTTTAGAAACAACATGCTCACAAGAGTCCTTGGATCAAACGGAAATAAAGTAAGACTACACAAAAATTCTTAATTTAGAATTGTTATGATAATGGAAGTAAGGATGTTATGAATGGATAGAAAAGTATCGAAAATGAATATAGAAATCTGGCTCGCAAACATTTGGAAAAGCAAAAAAACATGCTAGAATAATATGAAAGTGTAATTTTGTGTGTGAATTGTGAGGATGGTTAGGTTACTCTCAGTGATTCAGGATCTCGCTCAGTCGCGGGAATTCAAAAATCAAAATATCAGGGATTCCAGCATAGTTTTACTTTAACAAATTCAAGTGTGGAAAATTCAAGATTTTTGGAATGAAAAAAAAAACAAACAAACAAAAATTTACTCACCAACAAATTTAGAACAGACTAATTCGGGTAATGCTTGCAACTTTTTAATTCAGGATCTTTAGCCTTGTCGTTTGTTATCTACTCGTAGAACAGCAAACCTTAAAAGTGTATATAAAGAAATGTAGGTTTACCTGTAGATTTGTGTGGCTAAACAAATTGGTCTCCCCCAGTGAGAGAACATAGACTGAGGGTGTGTGAGAACAGGGTGCTGAGAAGAATATTTCGACCAAAGGGCAATGTACGTGTAGCAACAAGAGGCGGGAGAAAAGTGCATAATGAAGAGCCCCATAGCTTTTACTCCTCGCCAAACAGTGTCAGAATAACCAGAAAGAATAGGATGTGTAGAACATATAGGGCTCATGGGAAAGAAGAGACCGGAATGCTAAGTTATGGTGGGAAAATCTGAAGGTAAAAGTCCACTAGGAAGGCCTAGGAGTACAATGGACAATTATATTGAAACTGACCTTAATTATTTTTTTTATTGCTATTGGAGTGGGACTAAGTCCCTTGTACTGCGGCCACTTCTGGCCTATTGTACCAGTCCCAGATGATAGGTGAGGGTGATTGTGGAGCAATTGGTGGAATCAAGATTGGCAGGGGAAACCTAAGTACTCGGAGAAAACCTGCCCCAGCGCCACTTTGTCCACCACAAATCCCGCTTGACCAGACCCGGGATCGAACCCGGGCCGCCGCGGTGGATCTTAAGTAAATAGGATTGTATTTTGTGGCTGGATTCATCTGACAGAAGATAGGGACGAATAGTGGGCTCTTGTGTACGCGGTAATGAATAATCCGGTTCCATAAAAAGCTTGAGGCTTCTCAGTTATACTAAGAACCCGTATCTTCTCGCCACTACAGAATTACTTAGTTATTTGCGTGTATGCTATTTTCTTCTGGCTTGTTTCAGCGAGTTTTGCGAGCACAGCCAATTGCTACGAATGTAGCGCAATATCTCTAACACAGAGTGACATCCGAATGCGGTTGTTCCTTGCATCCATTTGCATTCAGTGCTTCCAGAGAGATCCGGGCATCCAGCTTTCCTAAAAACGAACAAAAATACGCGCAAAGTACGGCTATTGTCATTTCGATACATATGACGAATATCCGTCATAGATCCAGGTGTCAAAATCTGACGTCATTAATCGCCACACGCTCAGGACTAATTGGAAATCACTGACAGAAACAAGAATAATTTATCGGTGGCTGGAATCCAGTTACTTTCCAGGCAAGTGACAACATTTAAAACATAAGAACACCAAAGGGTATTTAGGGCCGCGCCATAGCTCAAGCGGTTAGTCACTGGTTCGATTCCGGGTCTGGTTAATTGGGATTTGTGGTGGACAAAGTTGCGCTGGGGCAAGTTTTCTCCGAGTACTTCGGTTTCCCCTGCCAGTCTTCATTCCACCAAATTCTACATCATCATAATCACCCGGTGCAGGCTACAATAGGTCAATCAGTGGCCGCCGTGCCGAGTGGACCAAATTGGACTCCACCCCCCACTGAGCGAAAAGGGTATTTACAAACTAGTGGAGTCTGAATGAAGTTTACTCCACACATGATATTTTCTGCAGCCACCTGCTCACGCTGGTTCCTCGCTCGCGGTTTTTTACCCTGAAAACGGAGGCGATATTTTCCTCCGAAACGTCGGTTAACACAATATCTACACGGCGTCACATCCCAGAAGACGGAATTCTTCTCAATCTTAAATTTGATAATAATTAATAGGATCTGAGAGAGAGAACTTAATACATTGGCTCACGACGGGGTTAAATGGCGAACTTTCGCGAGCACAGAAAATGCATTTTATTCACAAATCAGTACGTGCTAGAAGGCTGTATGAAGAATAAAGTATGTGGCTGAAAATTGAAGAGGCCATTATTATGCGCAAGAGTACGTGTATATGTGTTCATGAGAGGTAAATTAGAAACGAAAGAGAAGAAATGTGCGATGAAGAACATCAGCTCAGTATTCTTCGTGCGATATTGTTAAAGAGATGAAGAAACCTCTACTGTTCACTGGTATGCTATATTGAGAGTGACAGTTCCATATGTCCTCTTAAAAATACAAGTTTTACTGGGCACAAACAGGTCGTGCTCAAATCGAAAATAATAGGTCGACACAACTTTGGTTTCGAAATCAATTTAGAGACCTAGAAAATATTATAATAATCTTATGCAAATTAGTTCCCGGAGGCATGAACTGTTTTAAATTATAGTTTAATGGTGAGATGTTTCAGTGAAAGTAAAAAATACGAGTTTCATTAGAAAGTGGAGCCATATTGAAAATAGAAATGAAATGCTTAAAAAAGACCCAGAAGAAATGGAGTTATTTTGTCAGTCAAAAAACTATAGAGTCAACCATTAAGTTAATGATTCAGTTAAGCAGATAGATAATCCCAGTCAGTCAGGTAAGTATGAGTGGATAGTTAACCAGTCAGTGGGTGGGAAGGCCATGCAGATATTCGGTCCGCAAATTAACTAAGTATATTATTAATTTATGGTTGAATCAAGAGCCTGTATTCTGTATTTGTTTACATCCTTAGTTACATGGAACTAGCCACTCTATCCGGCTTTGACCGGGAGTAATCTGCACGTATAACTGCAAAATGTAATGCAATGCAATGTTATAACTTTGATCTTAATGTTATTAATATAAAGTGTCAGAACTACAAGGAACTTAACCAACAAATTACAACGAAAATCCTCACTTTTTGCAATTTTTACAGAAATATCCTTCATTTTCTGGAAATTTCAAAATTATTTATCTCCAAACCTATAAAATATAAGCATAGGTGTGTGGCTGGCTGACGTTTCTTTCTTTATTTTTATCCTCTTTTTTACTTTTGTATTTCTTATCTCATCTTTTCTAAGCGCCACCAAACACATAAACTGAACACATTAGGACGAATGGTTGTTGGTAAATAAATAAGAGGAAAGAAAGAAAACTGTTTTTTGGTGAGCTTGTGATTAGAGAGGGGGGAGATTTTTGAGCGTGTAAAATCACAGCAGGGACATTTATCACCATTCCAAATTTGATCGAAGTAGTTGCAACGGCGTGGAAATATGAAAGGGACAAATAAACAAACATACATACAAGTAGACAAATTTGTATAGACATTACAGGTATTGCCTGCTGTTGCGCACGTAAAGCAGGACGACCAGCCCTGTCTCGTCCACGAAGCTTCCGCTAATAGTGACTCCGTGAGCAAGCCAAGTTCCACTACAGCCTCCCATTACTGTCTTACTGGGACACTATTAATGATCGAATTTGCATAATAAATTCCGTACCTTGACAGGAAAACATATTGCAACGTCTTCTCTCTTTGTTGTATCCATGGCAACTAGCATTCTGGCGACAGAATCTCCTCCGCTCCTGAGTGCCCTCACCACAAGAGGCGCTGCAGGGAGACCAGTCAGACCATGGCTCCCAACCTGCAATGCACAAAGAGAAAACGTCTCAAACAATCCATCACAGCACCGATCATTAATCAAGGCATTGAAGAGTTCTTGCATCGCAAGGCAAGTAAGGCTCCAATGGAGAGGGGATTCTTCAAGTCAAGATGATGAATCAGCGGCAAAAGATTTGTCACTTTTCTTTTGGGGAACAATTCTGATATTTCTATATGTACCATCACGTTTAATAGTTTAAACGTTACCTCGGATTTTAATGTCTTGAATACTTAATTAGCAGGTTCCATTTCATCAACCCTTTGTTTGAAGTGTTTCGTTTATAAAATGTACTTTTGATGGTTTTCGAACGTATTTCGACGCTAGGTTAACATTTTAATTGATCAAGAAACACAAGAAATATAAAAATGCATTTAAAGACGAGAAAAAGTTGGGTTTCTGAAAGACATATTTATTTCGTTGCATCAGAATTGTTAATTATTAATTTAGAAACCTAACGACAGCCACGATCTTGACCAACAGCTTCTCTGAAGATCAATTATCTGGGTCTCTTTTAAAAGAATAAAACTCTGTGGCTTTAGTCCTCAAGCGAGCTACCACGTATAGCGACCTAGCGACCACCGCCTCTCGGCGAAGTTATTGCCAACTTTATTGGATAGAGGGTGTCGCGTGGTCAGCGCAATGAATCCCCACGGCCATTGATTTCAGTTTTATGGACCGGCATTCAGGACATAATTAATATCAGGTTTAACATTTTGTAGGTTAAGAGCAATAATAGAGGTGGAAGGTTTGGTACTCCTTCATCGTATTCTATTGGCCACGTCACACTGTACTGAATGAGGTATTTCGTGGTTTTCCTCAGTTCTTCCAGTCCAATGTTGATGTATTAAATTAATTTAGGAAAAGACAGCTTCCTTCCAAGTATTTTACAATTCTCCCTGCGTATTGAACTCCCATTCGACGATATGAAACATCTTAAGGCAAAAGAGCGATTCAAAATAAAACGAGAAATAACCAAATACACGAGTGGGTTCACATATCCCCTATAATTTATGTATATATACGTCCATCTTTTCACCGCCAAACATTTCTTTCCAAATTAAATATCGCCGCCATTTTGCAACATCCTAGGGCACCAAGTCATAAAATTCCATCTGAGTCCGTACTGACAACACCTTTCTTGGTAAAATGCCTATTCACATTTACAATATACAGCGTGTTTCAAAAAGAGCTTTACAACTTTGAAAGCTTATATAAATTTATGCAGAGGACATACACAACGTTTTGAACTGTCATAATGTAGCAAAACACACCGAGTTTTACCTTGGATAGTTATGGTTCAGTGTGACTTCCATTGGTAATGCGGCAGACGTCCCACCTGCAGTCAGTCTCTTGCCACACGCTACGTAGCATCTCTGGTGTCACTTCTGCAACTGAGGCAGTAATTCGAGTTCGGAGCTCAACAACATTTGCAGGCAAAGGCTGTACGAACACTCGATCTTTAACGAATCCCCATAAGAAAAAATCCATCGGATTAAGATCCGGGGGACGAGGTGGCCATGCTATCGGCGCCGCTCTACCAATCCACTGACCTGGGAAACAGGTGTTGAGGTACTCGTGCACTTCTCCTAGGTAATGAGGGGATGCGCCGTCTTGCTGGAAGTGAATGCGTCCTTCTTGGTCATCTTCGTCTAACTGTGGAATGAGGAACTCTTGGAGCATGTCCAGATATACGATACCGGTAATGGTCCTCTCCATGAAGAAGGGGCCGTACACTCTTTCTTTACTGAGGGCGCAAAACACGTTCACCTTTGGACTATCACGAACATGTTCCAGGGAGACACGTGGATTTTCGCTGCCCCAGATCCTGTAGTTGTGGGTATTTACCTTGCCACTGACATGAAACGTGCTCTCATCACTGAAAATTACGGAGTCCAGAAACTTCTCATCGTCTTGTATCTGATGAAACATTTGCATACAGAATTCCTTACGAACCATCTTATCTGCATCCGTAAGGTGTTGAATGATGGATAGTTTGTACGCTTTTAAATGTAATCGTTTTCGTAACACTCACCACACAGTAACATTTGGAATACCAGTTTCCCGAGACTCAAGTTGCGTTTACTTTCGTGAACTTCGAACGAAACTCTCCATAATGTGTTCCACTGTAGCGTCAGAAACACGTGGCCGACCTGGTGGCTTGGCATGGCGCACAGAACATCCGGTCTGAACAAAATTCTTGTGCCAGGAGTAGGCACAAGAGGCCTACTGGGAGGTTCCTTGCGATACTGAGTGCGAAATTTCCTTTGAACGTGCGTAGCAGACTTCGTTTTTTCGAACCAAAACACACAACGAACACGCTCTGCACCTGTGAAAGTAGCCATCTAGATTTCAACTGCGGGAGCGCTCGCGGTGGCGATATTGGATACTACAGTACCACGTGCGTGAAACTCGGTGTGTTTTGATATATTATGACAGTTCAAAACGTTGTGTATGTCCTCTGTATAAATTCATATAAGCTTTCAAAACTGTAAACCTCTTTTTGAGACACTTTGTATAGTTGGCAAACATTAAGTTACAAGATTCCGGTCCTCTGAGATGTTATGACATATCGTTTTGTAGATAGTTACCAACGTTTTGGAGTGACTTACTGTAGACCACAATCCTCAAGATGGTAGCAGAAGTGCGGTATTTATGTGGAATAACCTGTCACAGTAGCCACGCGTTCTAATACATGAACTGACTTCGCTCGCTCGGACGCTGGGATCGTTGGTTCAAACCCATTCAAAGCATGGGTGTTCGATGTGTGTATGCATTTATTCTGTGATTCTGTTGTCCTGTGTTTAGCCAGTGGCCTTGCGACGGGCTAATCACTCGTCCAAGGAGTCCTACTGTCTGTAAAGAATGATTGCGGATCTGAATAAGAGGCCTATGTCCTGAATGGGCTGGAAGAGCAATTGAAAGAAAAGTTATGTTGGAATCATACCGCTCTACATTACATTTGGCCTATAATTTTTACTGTTGAAGAGCCCCAGTTTCTGGGATACAATACTGTTTATTCTGCTGAAAATCAACATACTGTGGCATGTTGACCCCTACCTCCCCAGCTGCACGTAGCGGTAACGTAACGCTCGCGTAATAGGCGAGTAATCACCCCGCATCCTGGCAGCTATGCGCGGTGACGTCACGAGCGGAGCCGAAGAGAGCCAAGCGGAGCCGAAGATAGCCGACCCCCCGCAACCTGGTAACGATGCAAGGCGAGTCAACAGCGGTGACGTAACAGGATGACGTGGCACTCATTACGCAACAAGCAAGCACTGCAGCTATATAAGTGAGCTGCACAGTGGCTGCGAGTCAGTTATAAAGTAACAGTCGCCGAGTTGAAACGTAGCAGCCTGCGAGTGTGCGATACTTAAGAAGTCAGCGAGCGGAAGACTTTTCGTGTGCTTTCCAGACATAGTGAGTGCTGTAGTACAGTTATACTCGGAGTGTGTAATTCAGGGAGACTTGTATAGCTCCCGCGTTATTAGTACGTGAAGACAAGTGAAGATTGTGTTAAGAGATTTTGTTGTAAGGTTTGTAAACTGTAGAAACCCGTAACTTTGTGATAATTAATTGTAGCCGATAGTTGTAGATTGTTCAATAAACCAATTAACGATCTCTACGGCATATTCAGTAACGAAACACGTTACAATACGTTTCGGATGGAAATGTGTCCTTTATCTTCAGGTTTGAGGAATAAGCCTGGCAAGAAACCAGCATTAAGCACATAGCACTGCGTCGTTATATCCCAGAAAACAAAATACTTCATAACCACCGTTGTAAGAGCCTCAGATTCTAAAATATTTACCGTTGGTACCGCAATACCAGACTTGTCGAAAACAAATAGTTCCAGAAATGATACTTCCCAATATGCTTTCATTACATACAAAGAACCCATCGAAGTGAGGACAAAGTGCCACAAATTGTGGGGGCACTATCGGTCGGAATTTTTATTATCTCGTTCGAGAAGTCGAAGATGGAGAGAGACAGAGCTTTGTTTCAACTTTTAGACATCGAACTTCTGTTGACACGACCTCACTTTCCACAGAGAAAGCAATCGGACAGAAACTATTGAGAGGGCGGAGGGAGGTTCAAGTGGTCGGGCGAGTCTCAGTGGTTTGCAGTGTAAAGAGATGCTTCACTTCAAAAGAGTTCCATATATATGAACTCAACTCCCACTGTCCCGATCTAACGTCTCGCTGCAGGCAATAGATCAGTCGCTTCGTGTTCAGAGGCACATGGTGGGAATTCTACGCCGAAAACAGGCTAGTTTCAAATTTTCATTGCTGAGACTTCTCAAACAAATGTTGGGACAATATATTAAAATAGGCCACAAGATATTAGTTATTTACAAGTATCATGACATACCGACTATACGAGGGTATAGGATACTTAGAACTGTGGCTAAGTGTTCAGAAAGTCCGGGATTCGGTCCCCTAATCCGAGACTGGCTATCCTGAATTTGTTCATTGTTTTTAATGTCCCTGCAGACAGAAGCTAGAGCAATAAGTTTTATAGGCCTCAGTCACATCCTAAAAGTTGAAGCTGTACAAGAAATGTAGGCCAAAGGGCGTCATTAAAAATTAGGAATCTGCTGCCTCAATGTCGATTTTGGGAAGTGGCAAACAGGCTTGACCAAAGGCCAGGATATTTTTATGTTTTAAGTTTAAATGTCTTGTCAAATAAATTGATGAACCGAAATTCCATGGAGCAGGTTCTAAGTTGAAAATCGATAATTATTTAGTCGACCAACAACTCCCCGCTTTTAAAGAACTCAAGTGCGGTACTCTATTCGCAAGAGCCCGCAAATGAACTCTATTCTGATCCAGATGGAAATATAAATACATCATTCCATACATCTGGATTATCTATTTCAATATCATCCTTCCATCTATGCTCATTTTCTCTCATCCTTTCAGATTTTCATCTGGAATATACCCCTTTATATGGTGTATTTATCGCCCAGGACGGGAGGTTCCCAC